GAATTCCAAATAACCTTTTCTCGGGCATTCTTCTTATAGCGCGAACCAAATGGCCGCGCGCGTTCCAAATGGCCAGCCTGCTCGGGGTCGGTCCGTGAAACCGTAAAAGGAGCAGCATCCCCCGCCGTTGGATGATCGTTGGTACCGGAAACGCGGAATTAGATCCGTTTTTGCGTCGTCGGCCGCGCGTTCATCAATGAACGGCTACGTCAGCGGCCGCCGCCGCCGCCGCGATGCCCTCGACTATAATAGTAAACCCGAATTCCACCGTGGCATACTCACAGCAGTCGTTCGCGGAGCGTCGCATGTAAATTTACCTGCGATGCGTCAGAATCCTCTGCTTTCCGACGGGGTTCCTCGCTACGTACGTAGCTACGCGCACAAATAATTTCAGGGCTGATTCATTACGCCGACAACGAGTAGCACCGGCTTAATGGGCGCTACAGGTTGTCTCAGAAAGATGTTTCGAATGATTTTAACCCTTAGTTTTACGTTTTCTTTCACAATTGAGCTCGATGAGACTACTTTGTTGTTAATAATTTAGTAGAAACGGAGAAAAATTTTGTTTATTCTGTATCCACGTGTAGTTTAACCCTTTGCGGACGAAGATTCTTTGAAATATAGAAGACCTTGAGTAGATAAAGCTGAACTATATATCAAATGCCTAATTAATATCAAAAAAGGAAACCACGCGATGATTTCTGGCTGTTCGAGTAACTAAATCATTCGTCTGCAACTTAGTCTTTCAAATATGAAATGTCGACAGTCGTCTGCAAAGGGTTAAAGGTTATAGATTGATAATAGATAAGTAATGTTTGATTTGTATGAAGAATAAACGAATAACATTTAGATTTGTCGAATACGAGTGAAAATTTTCATCGTGGGTTTGAATTTTTTATATAATAATATTATATATTTTTATATAAAAATATTTCAAATAATATTATGTATGCAATATGTATAATATATATTTATTTCATCATAATTACATGATATTATTCACAAATATATTTTTAAGGCAAACACATCACAAATACAAATATGTTCTCAACACTAATATCAGTGTAGTTGCATTTATAGAGGACGTCACACGATGCCTGCCGTTTGCCCCCCAACAAGATTAATTCTCGCCGCACTAATTATCCGGCAGACATTTTCTAAATCGGCCCGGTCCACGTGACGATTGCATGGTAATTTAGGAAGTTATAACGTCCGCCGCGTTGCCAGAGAGACAACGGAACGAGTGCAGTCACTTTCCGCTCCTAATCTCCCAAATTAACCAGACTAAGAACACTCTATCGCTGACAGAATATCGATATACGAGCTAGATCGAGTTAGGGTTCACATAAATCAGACCGTTCGTAATTCGTTCGTTTCACGCGAATAGAAGACATTCCGACGATCCCTGCTTCGACATATTTAACGCGTTCGCTAGCAACGTTTATTTCGGTGACGATCTCCTCAATTAAATTTTCTTCGATCCAATAAATTTTCGAAAGTATTAGAAAAATGAAATCGAAACGAGTCATTGAGTTCCTAAATATAATTTATAATAACATTATCTATAGGATTAATTTCATTTTCATTCCGTAAAGAAAAATGAAACTGAAACGAGTCATTTAGTTCCTAAATATAATATAATAATTTATAATAACATTATCTATAGGATTAATTTCATTTTCATTATCTAAATAAAAATAAAATTGAAACGAGTCATTGAGTTCCTAAATATAATCTCATAATTTATAACTTATAATAACAATATCCATAGGATTAATTTCATTTGAATTTGAACGTGTTGAACGACAATCTTTCGACCACGAGCATTTACGCGCCAAACGGAAGCTTCGAAGATTTGGCAGACGCGAGGCGCCATGTTGGTAGCAGCGTAGTTCTTCGAGACTCGGTGCTTCAGTCACAAATTCTGTCTGTGAAACCAATCCGAGGGACATTGTTTGTAATGCTTGTCTCGCAATTTACTTGCACTTACGAAATCGTATTCTATATGAAAAATTCTAGTTCTTAGAGGTACTCAGAAGAGTTCGGTTTCCTTGGTAGCAATGAATAGAAGTCTCAATTAGTGTTTCACTGGTTCAATGAATGAAATTGGCATTAGCAGCGAGTTGCGTTCATTCCGTTGCTATCGAATGGAATAGAAGTATTTTAGGAAGATGTTCTGTGAATTATTTTATGAAGAGGTTTTCTTTGTTAAACTGTCAGATGACTGATTTTAAAATTTGATTGACAATTCCGAATTATTTTATGAAGAGGTTCTGTTAAACTGTCAGATGACTAGTTTTAAAATTTTATTGACAATTCTGAGTTTTTTTTCGTCCGTTTGACTTTTATATCAATTTCTATATTGTTTAAATATAGAGAATATTTTCAATTTTCCTTTTCTTTTGTTTCTGTTTCCACAATTATTTATATTTATTTTGTAGCCAGTTATTTGACTGGTTAGGATAGGAATAAGTTTAAACAAAGTATAAATTAATGTTACAAAGAGTAATTACATTGGAATGTTAATGGTATCAGGAATGTTACTAACAGAATGCACCGATATTTTTACAACCAATACTCTTGCATTAAGCCACGATTATATTAAGTCGTGATATCGCTTAAGAAAATACAATTGCAATAATAAAACGTGATTATTTAGTTAAAACGTGAGACATAGATTCATGGAAACGATCATAGTAATACTTATTGTTAGATAAGCTTATATACTATTACTATTACACTATTTTCACTGAAATAGTTAATTCTCGCTTACTCGACGGTTATTTTGAAGAAATTAATCACGTTTATCGAGCCGTTGGAGGAATTCATTATTATGGCCATGTGCAACAGCTGGAATTTCATCGAAATCTTAGTACTTAAATTTAGCCAGGAATGCGAGCAAAGATTCCTTCGTATTGGTTTAAACCAAGTTCCAATCGGGCTCTTGCGTATTTCCTCTTCAAGATGAACATCGCATATTTGTTTCACGGACGAAAAGCAGCTGACCGCTGGATACGACGCTGTTGTATTTTAATTAGACTGTAATCTTCATTTTTATTTTTATACGAGCGAATGTGTGGCTCTTAGAACTGGGTGAAACGTTCGTGGCACTTCCATATTTGTTGAATTTACTATAGTCGCGATATTGCTGTATTAGTCAAATCTAATCTGTGATTATCGAGTTGTTGTAAAAATTGCTTATCAAATGGTAGCTTACGATTCAATTAAGTGATATGGAATAAGAGAGGTAAAACTGGAATGTTGAATATTTTCTATAGTTTGAATATTGTAACTAGATTATTGTTGTGCGAGTTTATACTTAAAATTTGGAAAATAAGCTTTTCCATAGGTAATAAATTATTATTGAATAATTATTGATGAATTGAAGCAATATATTGATGAAGATTGTAGTTGTTTTTAGCAGAAAACTTTTAGAATGCAAAGGGTTAAATCGTATTATTGTACAATCAAGAAAACGACTAATTTATAAATAGTTAGGAATATATTTTTAAATACATCTCATAGGAGAAAAATATTATTTTCATTAAGATTCGTCGTTTTCATTGGAAATTATGGCTGCTCAAACCATCTATTATCACTATACATTCAAAAGAAAACGATAAATTTATAAACAGTTGCAAATATACTTATAAAGACACCTTACACAAAGAAAATATTATTTTCATTAAACACTCATCATTCTCATTGAAAACTAAACCCACTGAAACCCTCAGTTATTACCATACAATTAGAAGACCACGACAAACTGACTAATTACAAACATATTTACAAAGACACCTCATCCAAGCAAACTATCTGAAACCAACCACTCATCTTCATTAAAAACTAAAC